CACAGTGGTCATATTTTCTTGCTAGTTTTTTAAATAAATAAAGGAAAGTGGCTGGATTTAAAAGGTATCAATTAGTTGCTTCATGCATAGGTCCCAGCATTCAGTTTATCCTCTAGAGTGTCTCACTGATGTGAGTTTTCTGAGAGGTGTTACTTCCATATCATGGCAGTAACTAGCCCCTCAACACTGCCTGTCAGGAGCTGGTGCAATACACAGGATGAGCTGTGTGATTACTGTCTGCCAGGAGAGTACATGATGGCAATCCAACTGTTATCATTCCACTAATGTGTAACCAGCTGTCTTGTTGGCAAGGGCTCAAGATGAGTCCCTGGGATGAAAACACTGATTAGCACCTCCACTGGTCCAACTCAGGCCCCTGTGTAGTTCAAGCACTACCAAAAAGCAGCAGTATGCCCCACATTTAATGGATGTGAGCTTGTTTGTTGTGGTTGAATTATACAGTACTTATCATAGACTGAAGGGCAAGTTACATTTTCCCTTTGGTAAATTGTTTTTAATTTTAATTAATAATTTATTAAAAAGCCTGTTCTCCCCTAAAGACAACACTGAATGGGTAGCACAGCCATTCAGCTGAAGTCTATCACCATTTCAAGTACATCACCAAGTCATCAGAGCATGACCTCCATACCTGACAATCCATGACCTCCTTGCTTGACAATCACCAGAAATTTACTGCTCAGAAATTGACTGAGCAGTATGGTGAATACATTGTCCCAGGGAATCCTAGCACATCTGCTCGGGTGCACATGTTCACTTTAGAATAAAACTGGCTTTACAATATTTGCCTCTTTTATGTAGTTTACTGTGATACCTCCTTGTCAGATTAGCTGTCCATTTCCATTTCAGATCTCATTGAAATTGTGGGCAGAACTGACAGGCACCTTCCCTGTTTTGTTCCACCTGTATTTCAGTGTCATTCATTAAAGGCAATATGAAAAGACCAGCACTCCTAAACAAATGAAAACAAATGTTTTATTTACAGGAAAAAATCTGTACACTGTGTATACATAAAAATATACAAAATCATAATAGAAAATATAAAAAGTGTTAAAATGTATACAAACACTGCTTAAAAATGTGACTCCTGTAAAATCTTAAGGTTTGTTATTAGAGTACACATTCATTTAAAAAAATCATCATACAAAATAATTCTCAAAGCTATTAAAAAAGTACACAGTCCGTATTTGAATAGTTCAATGAGTACATATTTTAAAGAGTGATGAGATGGTATGACAAAAAGTAAGGCTTTTACACACAACTCTTATTTAAAGAACAAAATTCTGAATCTGATTGCTAAGCCAGAAAGAAGACATCTGCAGCATCAAAATTCATTAAGTGATTCACGTACCCCTGACATGGGCTACTTTAATTTCAAACATTTTTAAATCAGGTATCCTCCTTGTGTGTGAGAGGACAGATGCTGGGAAAGATTCAAATAATTTTAACAGCAGGCTTCTGAATTGCCTGCTTCAAAGCAGGATTTCATTTAAATATGCATCAACTTTAGAAAGCATGAAGGGAAAAATAGTAACCATTTATTGTTGCAGCCAATGCATTTAATACTCCTTTCATAGTACATCTGTGTCACTGTCCAAACGGCATTTTCCATCCTTAAAAACTTCTGAAGAAAAAAGAAATAAAAAACCCCACTAGGGATTGCTCCACATGTGTTTTGAACTCCTGTTCAATTCAATCAGTCTCTTAAATGACTGTGCTCAGTCTGTGCAACCAGTGAGTGTAGACACCTGTCTTCATCTTAAAAAAAACAACTCTTTTGGTTTTTCTGACTTTGGCAAGAGATCTACAGCAACAAGTTCAGAATTCGGATGTCTTCACTAAAGAAAATGTCTTTACCAAAGACAAGAAATGCTTAAATTAAATTTGTACAGAATATATTAGAGTGTTTATATCATCCTTCTCTCTCTCCAAAGGTACATAATGGTAATTTCACTGAATTTACCAGAGTTTCTACAGCATAAAATTGCACAACAAGGTAAAAAAAAAGATGTAGTAGTTTAATCCAAGGACGGACTGAGCTATGAGTTTATGCTGAGGTAACCTTTAAAACTGTAGAGGAATTGAACAAAATAATGATTTTATTCTAGTAAAAAGACTTTGGCTCAAAATGAGGCAAAATATTTCACAATTTTTTCTAATTTAACAAAAGAATACCTTGATTTAACCATTCAAAACTGAATGCATAAAATAATAGAGCACCGCAAGTCAGAAAAGTTACAGAATTCACAGTGGGGAAAGAGGAGCATAATTAAATTCAGCATAAACTCAGTGCATTTCCTTAAACTGCTGCTGTGTTTCTGGTTTGTTCCAGTTAACTTTAACTGTTGTCCACAGCACCAGGGCACAGAAATGAGGCTCAACAGTGTTTGAAGGCAACTTGTTCCTACTTGTCAGTAAAATTCCATAAATTTAAAGCCTACAAGTGCAAAGGGAGCTCAGGGGCCCAATAGCAGAGGCAATTGCTTGGCTGATGATGCACCTTGAGATGCACCAGGTTTGTGCAAACCTCTCTTGTCTAGGTGCTGTCCCACTCTGTTAGCGTGGGACAGCCACATGGGAGAGCTATGAAGCCATGCCTGTATCTTTTCCCCAAAAAGTCCCATGATCTTGGTGAGAAAATACACTTCCTTTCACATTGCTGCATTTACCATGCATCTAAACCCAGCACTCTCACCCATTATTTTTAGAAGAGCTGTGGTTCAGTGTTGATACACGTTGACTGTTTTAAATTTACTGAATGTGGTTCTTTGCAAACATTTCTCAGCCCTCACAAGGGACGGGGAAATGCCCATGAATTCAAAAACACTCTGAGGGCTCTTATAAAAGCCAGAATGCCAATGCCACAGAGAGTAAGAAGTGGTGAGAGGAGCAGCTCTGCAGGTCCTCTATGTTTCCCCTTAATTTCTGCCCCTTCACCCCTTGCAGCAAGTGGAGGGGAGCCCTCAATTAGCAGATCAAACACACTCACACTTGTGCCAGAATCTGAAGGAGGACAAGACAAGGTAGGAGAGAAAATACTCTTTAAACAACCACAATGTGTTTGAGCAGGCAGACCAGTAAAGCATCACAGTGGATACCAGCGTTAGAAAGCCATTCCAGGCTCATTTTTTAAAGGTTGGCATCACAGGTTGGTCTTCCTCCTCTGTGAGCAAACGTTTGCAGAACAGCTCTGCAGCATCTTCTGAGGTGATGGTGCTACAACAACTGCATTTGCACTTATGGAAGGAGGGCTGACTGCCATATAAAGAAGGATATGGCAAAGAAAAAATTTTGGCTGCAAGGGCTTGAGTGTGCAGTCCAGTAAATTAAAAAACATACAGTTCATTATGTACCATCTCAGACCTGGTTCTGCATTGGTATATAAATGACCTATGGAGTAGGTATGCTTAGCACTTGTTACATGAAACATTGTAATTTGCCTTGTTCTGTATAAGCAACAGCTATGTTGATTATTCTGAAAAATTATTGAGAGAATAAATAATACTACATAATCTTGCTGTGGGTGGTTGAGCAATGCAGTTAGTATTTTTCTTCTTTGTGAAAATCAAAAGTAAAAGTTAGTGGTTGCAGGCCAGTCAAAGTGATTTTTTTTCTCTTTTTGGAACTCTAGAAGTTCCTGCATATAGAAAAGTAGCATCTTCACTAGTCTTAGAAAGCTAAAATCTCTTCCTTTAGAGTTATGTCATAGCTAACCCAGGGTACAGCAGAGAGAGACATATTTAATTGCACTGTTCAGACTGCTTATGTTTTGCAAACAGGGTATGAAATATATGGAAAAATAGATTAGTTCCATGTGGGCTATCTATCCTCCATGCATTTAAATAAGAATGTTATTAACTTCAAGAATAAAAGTTGCCACCACACATAACATTAAAAAGAAATTGGTGTGTAATACATCCAGAGTCCAAGCCCAGTATGAGTAAAACTTATTAATTTTGATATGTATCAAAATGCCTTATGGACATAACTTTCCATACAACACAGAAGTACAGTTATTAGATCATCTACATGATTTCTTTCAACAAGAAGAATCTTAAGATCATCATAAAGCCCAAAAAGAAGGCTAAGTCCTATGTAAGATATTTATTCCTCATTTCAAGGAAGGAAAATAATCCTTCCAAAAGATCCTTCCAATACTGCTTCCCAAAGAGCTGAGCAAGAGAAAAAGGATTTTATGATTATCCTCACATTACAATTGAAGGTGAAATAGTAATTAATATTATTTACTTTTCTTTGCCTTTCTGGCAAAAGGCTTTTTGCTTAAATCAAAACACAAAAACCACTTTCTACCACAACCAGTCAGCTATTCTTTTCAATGTCCCTTTCAGCTGTCTGCTTTTTTTACTGGATGGACACGAGTAGGATATACCTGTGCTTTTGTGTACACATATTCCTGCTGAACTTACTCTAAAAGAAAATGTACAGTCAGGTGGGAAAAAAACCAAACCAAAAAAGAGAAAACCACTCTAGAGCATTAACTTTTAGAATTGCCTTAAGGAATATTGTCCTTGTGTGTTATGAATGAAAATGTCAAACCATCTCCATATGCAATCTGTTGTCAGGTTATTTTGCAGGCATTACAGCTTTTCTGGGTTATAATCTTTCGAGCATTAAGTAAAAAATGCTGATATCATCTTCTTTTGTCAGAAAACTTTGCCTTTCTGAACAGCAAGAACTTGTGAACAAGTGACTTTGATTCTGATACCAATGAAACACCTAAAAATAATGTCTGTATTCCTGAATGCTATCTTTGTTGACGAGTGGTGAGCCCCTCTATGCTTGCTTTTCAGTGTAATCAGTGAATGCTGCACAGCCTCCCTTGGATTTCTTTGGATCTTTTGTATCTGTACAGACAGGGGGAAGGCACCATTTCCATCTCACACCTTCCTGATAGTCCTTTCAGGGACAGTTTTTCTTCCTAATTGGGCTACAAATACGTTATGTTTTCTCTAAAGAAATGGTTTCTCTCTTCCCTCTTCAGTCAGTGTGAGCATGGGAGACTGGCATCCAAAACCACATCCAGTGGTTTAACTGGTTTAGCTGTGTGCAGCCATCTCTGACTGCACACACTTCAGGGCCACCCTAAACCCCTGTTCAGCTGGAGGCCTGGAACTGAGCCTGTGTAGGAACAGGCACTAAAGTCTGCTCTAGTGAAGGACTGCACTACTGAATAGCTTGGAGTAGCAATTGCTTCATTCTGAAAATCCCATGGAGTCACAGGAAATGCTGCATTGTTCAACTGGCCGCTCTGTACATACATGAACAACGGAGGCTGTTTCACAATGCCAGGTTTGACAATTAAATAAATTCGTTTAAAAAAACTTACAGTCTAGCATACGTGGCATGAGACCACCGACAAATTCTGACAGTCACACCAATAATGATACATTATATTTCTGCCTAAGTATGTCCTTTGCACCTTCATGAACTAAGCTTTTGCTTTTATTCTGTAACTATTTGCAAAGCAGTAATAAATACTCAGGCTCAGAAAAGAAGAATTTCTCACGCCTGCTACTTAATTACAATTTATAGACTCAAGACTAGATTGGTCTAAGATATATTTTTTCAAGTATTCTCTTCTTCTTTATAGTACAACAGTAGTACCTTATTGCACATTTTTTCTGAAATAATTACTTCCAGAAGTGTGGGAAATTATTTCGTTTGGGGCACTTGACAGCTTTGAACCCTGGCAAAATGACTTTCCCCTTCCGATACAGATCATCCTGCAAACCTTTGTTCATCCTCTGCACCAGGAGCTTCTCGTAGAGCAGGGGATGGTAGGCCCCCAAGGTGCAAGCTGCATCGTAGTAGAGTTCATGGTAGTGGCACAGGTCGGTCTGTCGCACTGAAGGGATGTACTCGTACACGTGCACTTCATTGCACATGGACATCATGATGAGGATACCTGCCACAAGAAGTGAAAACAAAAGTGAACACCAGCTTCCACTTTTCTTGCAGAAATTTCCTTGCAGTCATCCAATCTATTTTTTTCTCTCCTTTTCTTTGCTGTTGCAAAGCATTCTGTGTAATCATTAAGTGAAGCAATCATTCCTTTTATTTGAGCAGCTTTCACTTGTCCCTAATACATAAAGATTGTGGTCCCTGATACATAAAGATTGTGACCCCTGTAGAGTCAACAGCGTAGGATAACAGTCATAAAGAGAGAAAAGCCTGTAAAGAGCTTGCATGTCACCACCAGCCTCCTGAGTGAGAAGACTGCTCTTTCCCACTTCACCCCATTTATTCTATGGACTGTCCACAAAACGTTCCTCACAAGAATCCTTGAAACATCTCCACCTTACTGCAATGTTGGTCTTTCTTAGTCTGAAATTGAACCAATTCCACTTTTCCCATCCACTTGCTTCTCCCTAAGCAGCAACATGTGCAGAAGGGCATATAAAGAAACATCACCCATGAAGTGGTGGCACAGAAGCCCACAGCTTCAGACAAGTCTCAGGGAGAGGCACCAGAGATGAATTCCTACTTAAAACAGTGCTGTCATAAGGAAAAGCCCCTCACCACTTCCTTGTTCCAGCAAGGAGAAATCCACAAAATGCCAACCCATTTTTTTCTGCCACATGCCAATGGCACACTATCATCAGCACCATCAATCGCAGTCTTTATAGCCTTGAAACAAGAGAAATATTGCTGTTGCAGCTGCACATTTTCAGATGGACTAGTACCAGATAATGACCAACAACATTGCCTAAACTATAATACTTTCACATCAATCACAGTTCCTGGAAGATTTTTCTGTTTCATAAAGCCATGCAAAAGGAAAGTGACATGAAGTAAGTTTTGGACGCCATTCTTTTTTTTTTTAAGATTTCACTTAGAAAATAAATTTGTGTAGAAAATGTATTGAGGCACTTGTAGCATTACTGGTATCTCTATCTGTGGAATAGGATTGTCAGCTCTCAGGGGAGGTAGGTGTGTAACTCTGCTCACTTGGCACTTACAGATGAGAATTAATGTAACTGTTGTTTGGGGCTTTTTTCTACACAACAGCTTTGGCATCATCAAAGGTGTTTTGGGTAGATCTCAGAAGTGAAATGAATGAACATAAAAAATTACTTTTGTTTCTTAATTAAGCAAAGCCATTTTCTGAAGTTCATTTTGCAGTTTGGGAATGGGGGGAATTTCAATGGTTCCTAATGAAAAGAACCCTATGTTCTCCCTGCTGTGTATCATTAGATTATCAAAATGACTTTTCCCTGCCTGATGTGTGAAGTAACTGAAAACCAATTACTTCTGTGATTAAATATTTTAGCATAAATTAAAGGTTCTGAAAATATTTTATCATTGTTCTACAGCTTTACACTCTACAGAATCTACAGTGTTAGAAAAGCTAAGCATATAGATTCTGAAGTTCTCAAATTTGAGTGTACTTTAGTCTTAAGCAGCAAGAAACACATATTCATGGTGAAAAAATATTTAATCCCTATTTGAAAAGAAAGTACAATCCTAATAAACAAAGTTTCCTTGCATTGAAAATGTTATAGAGATGCTCTGAACCGTGACCTGCCAAGCAGCTATATCTAGAATTGTTTGGTTTTTTGTTGTTTTAGTTTTACAAATGCTTTCGCCAGCTTTTCCACTGCCAACCTCCTTCCTCCACTGATGGAGAGCCCACCTACCATTCCAAGGTAACTGTTATCCAGCTGGATCAGAGGGCGGACAGTGGAAACGTGTGCAATAATGAACCACATCCAGAAACAGACAGTAAAATGACTTCTCTCCTGTGCCCAGAGACAACTTCAAAAGCTATACCACCAACATCTTAGAAAAACTGGCTCTGATGGAAAGTACAAGCCTTAACCAAAATGCATTTTACTATTTCACTGCCACATTACCAAGCTAGCTCTACAAGTAATAACAGAAGTTGCCATTTGTGGGATTGAAAACCTGTCAAGAACAAAAATTATGACTTCTTAATAACAGAAAATTAATCACTTAGCCCCAGATATGGTTCAAACATGACAACATTTTAAGCAGTATCATTGACTTTCCTGTAAATTAGTTAATGGAGGACTTAGAAGTGGAAGAGTTTTGCGTTCTAGTGGTTCAGTGTCCTCCAGAATCAACCAAAAAGGCATGCTGGGCTATCTAATTTAGCTCCTTACTTTTCCTGACTGGTTCCATCCAGACCATGTCTTGGGACCTCAGTCTAGGTTGTTCATAAATAACCATAACTTCTACTTACATTTTTGCTCATGCTGGACAATGATGTTTGGCAGGAGGAAGGACATTGACTTGGCAGACTATTTTTGAGTGGTATCCACTAAGTTATAGCATATCCTTGTGTTGAAGTCTGAAAGATGAGCTACAACAACTACCAGAGATTTCCACACACAGAACTGTCCCTGTGCTAGAGGCTTATCTGTCCTGGTGGAATCAGGAGTCCTGATACTTCCAGGCCTTGTGTACATGTCAAATGCTCAAGCTCTAGTCTGGGCAAAAACAGTGGTCAGTGCCAGGCTGTTCTTCCTTTAGCACCTCTAACACTACAGACCTCCAGCCCATGGGACCAACAGTGAGGTACAACCAGAACTCCATCCAAACCATCTGTGGGTGACATGCAGGACAACACATGAACCTGAGGAGGTAGGGCCCTCTACTTAGCTGGCAGAGCCCCCAGATTCTCCCTTGAAATTATCTGCTCCTGCTTTTCTGCACTGCATTCAAAAAAAAAAAAAACCCAAAAACAACAAGGGGATGGAGAAGGAAGAATTAAAAAAAAAAGCTTCTCTTTGGAAAGGAAGCCATCTTTTTTGTACAAATACAGTAGTCTGTAAAATAGAGAAGAAATGGTTTCATTTCTGTCTCATGCCTTGGAGTATGTGAAACCCCTCCACAGGGGACAGCCCTGGTGTTGTAGAGCCATAACTGCAAACTCAATTTACAAAAAATGTTAGTTGAGCATCTTTAAAAGAATAGCAGCAATTTAGACCACTAGGACATTTACATCAGCCCATGTAGTAAGATATATTCAGGTTTTATTCTATATTTTTCCTAATGCCATGCGTCTAGGTTGTTTTTCCTAAGTCCCTAAAACAGCACTGCCAACAAAGCTCCCTGGACTACATTCCATCCCATACTTTTTCATAACACTCTTAAACTCCATTCCTCTCTTTGCTTGGTTTTAACATTGCACGGGGCTACTGACATCTTTATCCAGCAGATATGTGTGCCAAGCTGTCTATATTTTCATCTACCTTCCCTTCTCTCCTCCATTTAGCTTCAGGGATGTACATTTTTTAAATCACCAATTGCTTTGTGCCACTTACATGACCCCCAAAATATTTTTTACATTGTGTTTGAACTTTAATGATTTGGTTGCAGTCTCAAAGCTAAAGAAGAGGAATGTGCCTATCTGCTTTCAGACTTAATCTTGGTTCCATTAACTCATTTTGCTTGCCTGTCTATTCTGAGAAGTCCAAAGTTGCTTCCCAATTGTTATCTTTACACATTTCTGTCTGTATTACTGCTTTCTAAGTTTCTCTTTTGTGGCTGAATTTCTCGGCATTTTCTCCCACACCTGTAGTGCCAAAGTGTGCCTTGTTTATGTGCTATCCCTGTACTGCCCTCTGAGTGTGTCTTTACACTTATTTCTTTTGTCTGTGTACTTTTCACATCACTGCCCAGTTCAACACATCTGCATCGACTTTGTTCCATATCTCAACACTCCTCCAGGATTGTAAGTATGAATGAAAACCTCATTGTTTGATAGCCTGTAAGGTGAAGAATTTCCATATGATACACTTCAATATTTGTCTTTGCTAACAGTCCTTAAAACAATTTTCAGGTCAATGCACAATCATTATATATATAAAACAGCACAGACTGTCTTACATGTGACCTAAGGAGCTATTAATAAACAGGATGAGACAGTCATTGTCCCAACACAATACAGAGTCTGGACAGAATTAATCTTACTGAGTTGTTCATGCCCATCTCTGACCTTGCTGGTCTAAAGCATTCTTTGCAGACAATGCAGGAGACAGGTATTTCTAGGGCAAAACTCATCTGACTTATTTTAGATATCTCCTTTAGGATGTGTTGAATAGTTCACTTATTGAGAACTGTCCTTTTAGTGTTGTTTCTCTCCATTGACTTGAAACCAAAAATAAGAGGCTGGTACTTGGCTACCAAGAACCTTCTCCTCTACTCTCCTGTGTAAGCAGCTTTTGGAGCACCATGAAAAATAATATAATCTGTGCTTCTTTTCCAGAAGCACAATGAGAAGAAATAGGCATGATCAAATGTGCCCCTGGTGCAGTATCACAGGCTCCCTTGCTGTCAGCACAAGAAAGTGGGCACTTTTAGGAAGCAGTGCATGTCTAATGGATCATACAAGCCATTCCCCAGAAGCTCCTGGGTTTTTTTTCCTGTTGGCTGTAGGAGGAGCCTGAGCAGCAGCATGGATAGCTGCACTCCCAGTATGGGATGAAAATTTCACATGTTGAGGACAATTTGGGGCTCACAGTAATATTTAAGAGGTTTTTTTTTCTCTAATAATTCTGAGGGTGACTAACACAAGTACAGACCTGCACTGTAACCAGCTGAAGTCAGAAAGCACAAATCCCGCTCTCTGACTGACCCAGACATGAACCATACAGATATGGCAAATTTAGGTGCAAGGATTAAGCTGATGGGAGATATGGGGTTTTTTTACACCACTCATAAATACTAAGGTACGGGAATGGGAGTAAAAACAGAGAATTGCAAAGTATTTAGGGAAGGCCAGGTAGACATGTACAACTTGAGAAAACACAAAACCTAAAAGGGAAAGTCTATAGGCTGTCTATAGCATCTAAATATAAAAAAGCTTTTTAGATCTTAAATATCCAATCCATGTTTCACATTAATGAAAAGGTCAGGGTTATCCAGCCTGATTTTCGTTTTGACAAACGCAACTGGTGCTACCAGACATTCAAAATCACAACTGAAGATAATTCTGCATAGGCCACTCTAATTCTAATACCCTTGCTTGATTTATCAGTCCCATTTGGATTACAATTGTAAAAATGGAAAAATGCAAAATAATTCTGCCTGTTTTGTGGTAGAACATTCAAAGTCGTGCTTTGTGAATGTTTTATAATTGAATGGCAATGTTCGTGAACACCCAACTGAACATTGTAAAAAAAGAAAGAAAAAAAAGAATTGTGAGCATAGAATACTCTTTTACAAATACTATAACATTTATTATTCCAAAGAAATGATGTGGTTGTCAGAGAAACAGTCAAATGCAACTTTGCTATAACAGGGCAATTGTAGATTGCTAAAAGAGTATTACGTATTTTGAAATATTATATATTAGTATTTCATAATTCTTACAAAAGTGTGTTATCTGTTCTTGGCATTTTGGTTAAGATCAAGTGTAGTGTAGTAATTTTATTTTTTCCTATTTGGAAGATGCCCTTGGTGTTACGAAGTGTTGGGTATAGTTTAAACTCAGTCCAAATGGCACAAATAAACGTAGCTTATACAATCTGCACTGAGGACATTTAAACCAGAATTATATGAAGATTAAATTCCTTGCATGGATGGTTTTTACAAATGAACATGTTCTATGGATTCTAATCATAAGGAGAAAATGTTTTTTGTTATTTGTTCTTGGCAATTTGAATAATTCCAAAGATTTTGATTTTCCAACATGAATATTGTATGGTACAATTAAGCATTGTGGTTAGCACTCTAATTTAAAAAAGAATGTTTTCTAGTTTACAAATAAATAAAATATAGTTTAATATATCTCAGTCAACAGATGCTGTATGAAAGCATCTAGAATTACAAGTGTAACTCAAACATTCATCAAGAACACAGAATCATTGTAACATAATGAAAGAGATGTTGAAAACATTTAAATATACATAATCTGACTCATTCCCATAATGTATCATTTCACACGCATTGTAAATTCAGTTACAGAAAATAATTTAGCTGTACATACTAGTAAGTTTGTATATTTGAAAGCATTACAAATAAGCATAAAGCATTTAGAAGGTATAATCTTCTATATGATAGCCTACTACTATAGTCTCTCTTGACTGGATTGCAGATACCACACGAAACTCCTTGAAACTGGGCCAAATGTGCCTCAGTTATTCTTTGGTACATGCAGTAAAAATAGCTCTGGCTTTTTTAAACACTTTGTTTCTTAAAGATGGTTCTCTCACCTCTGGTTAGTTCATGAACTATGTGAAAAATATAAACCACAAGAAAAACAAATTATTTATCAAAGAATTGTCACCAAATGGCCCTGTGCCTAAGCTTAATAATTTGTGCAATACTTGTCACCTTTGATGTATAGATACTAGCATTACATAGTAGACCTTGAAAATTACATTTTTATAACTTGGTGAATGCAAAAAGCTCTACATTAATCACAATAATACTGTAATATGAGCATAGACTGGAAAATACTGACCAGTAATATAATGTAATTCTAAATGTATTGTTTAATTTTGGGTGATACACTAGAATAATAAATTTTTAAATATGATTTAAGAGGAGAGTTTGCTCTTTTATGTCTCCATTTTGAGAAGTGGGAGGAGATACTCAAATTTCACTGTGCTTTTTATTAGAGTAAGAATAATTTGAAACTTATGTATTGGAGGTATTACTGATTTGTGGGCTAATACTTGAACAACACTGAGCTGGCAAGAGTAAGCATTATTCTGTTCCTGCACCAACTGCTGTTAAAGCATCTGAATTACAGCAACAAAGGCAACTCTTCATACGTCCATTTGTTCCTTTCTGTTCATGAAAGTGCATTTTTTTCTAGGCAGAGCTGGAGGTCAGCTGTATACTGCTATGCAACATGCTCTCCAAAGCTGTTTTAAATTTAAGTTCTTAGTCATACAACAACCTGCTAATGTTGCAGTGCAATGATAGCCTTGCTTGTACTATTGTCTTGATGCATGCAAATGAAGATTAAAATAATGTTATCAACTATTACTGATGCATAACTGTTAAAACTGGAATGACATCTGTAAAGCCTCAAACAACATTTCCCTTCTCCCAACAATAAAGTAACCTGGGCTTAGTTATTTTGTTTTCAGTGGACTGTATGTTATGCTAAAATTTCTAGCACATATCAGAACTACCACCTACAGCAACAACCTAAAATGTAAGAATCTACACAGGTCATGTTTTGATTGAAAACAAACCAAAATACTGCAGTCGCAGCTTTCAGCTAGCTTTTTAAAAGATAAAAGTCACTGCTCTCTAACAGTACATAAATGTGAATTTCAATTAAAGTCGCATCTGAAGAGGTAAATCAGGAAAGTGTACTGATGGACTATGGTAAGTAAGAATTTATAGAAAATCCACTAAGTAAACAGTGGACAGGAGCAAAATCTCCACAGAAAAGCCTTTATATGATCTCGACATTATTAAAAAGCTCTCAGAATTTCCAAATGCTAATGTGCCATCCCGTCCAATGAGCACAGAATGCTGCCCTTGGGAAACTCTGCAGTTTTACTCCTGGTCTTCAGATGACAAAAATTTAAGGTCAGAATAGGCTGTTTACGTTGGCTACCAAAGACAGTACAGGAACAGTCAGTTCTTACAGCAGAATGGTAACATTAGTGACTGACACTTCATATACTATCAGATTCAATTAAAAACTGAGCTTTGATATATACAGAAAGAAGGGAGGAAGACTGAGTTCACATTTCACAATGAAAGACTTATTAACACAAAGTGAGAGGTAACTTACTTCTGCCAAAAGGTAGGGTAAATCCTTCCCTAGTAACAGTGTTAATTTAGGATTTGCCAGTGGAATCCAAGTCTGAGGTTTGATGGTTGGAAGCTTATCTGTCTTCTGAGAAAAATGGCATAGATCCAAGTCCAAGATGAGATGTAAACATATCAATACTCATTTAGCAAACTTATTTTCATCCAAATGTGAACCAACAACTTTAACTGTGAAAAGCCACCATGGCAATTGCCTAACGCTAATGCAAGATGATGAGAATACTGTGCAGAAATTTGTTTAGAAGCGTGAAGGCAGCAGCTGCAAAAGCAATGCAAAAATATGAAGAAATGGCTTCTCAAAGCTCTCATAAGGATTAGACTAGGAAGACAAAGAAAGGGTTTATTGTGAGGAGTGGCATTAGTTAAGCTATGACATGTCACAAAAGGCAAAGTTACAAGCCAGCTAAAGTCCACGCTGGTGTCTCAGGAAACAAACCAAAAGACACTCCTAGATGAAAATCAAAAGGTTGGTTTACCCGTTGGACGTTTACCCACAAACCATCCCTCCCCAAATCAATCCTGCTCTTCCCATCCACTCATTTCCCCTCCACAGCTGGGACATGCCCTGTGCTTCCCTCACCCAGCCACAGCTATCAAATTCTTCTGCCTCTCCTCGGCTACACTGAGCCAGTGCAGAGCTGACCTAGCAGGGTCTGAGGGAGGCAGGGGGGCCAGCAAGTGCAAAACCCATTATTTTCCCGAGCTCCCACGCAGTGAAAAACCAGGGGAGAAGTTCTACCTCTTCTCTCTTTCTCTCATTCCTCTAAAATCAAAGCACGTGAGAGACTTCCTCTTCCCCACTGGCTCCCTTTCTGAGAGATTTAATAATATTGTGACTTAAGTACTGTAATACAGTTATTAACAATGTTAAAAGATTCCCCTGACATAAGTCACTGTGGAAGGATGCTGACTCATTGCTGCAGAAGAACACCTTGAGGACACATTCCACCAGCATCCTCCCTTTGGCAAGATTCAGTTTCTTATAAATAGTGCCAAGCAGGAGGAATATATACAATTGTCAGGAGAAAAATATAATTACTGAAGAAACAGTGTAAGACCATGCTAAAACATTCTTGACATTTGTGAAAAGAAACATTCTGATGTTTCCATGTTTTAATTTATACATTTGTCCAATTTTGTACATTGGGCCTAATGGAAGCTAAAAAGCTTGGAACAAAAGTGCCTCACTTGACTCAGAACCATTTTTGTAACCTTTTCTATATGATTAAAATCATCATAGTTCTTGCTGGAAATTGCTCAGATTCAGGAATGTATATCTCTGTAAAAATTCATACCCCCTATTTAACAACAGTCTATTTCCTTCATATAGCTGTTTTAAGCACAGTAGCATTTAGTAGTGTGGTAATTTAATAAATTATTTTCTCTTGTTGAAACTAAGACACTCATATTTTATGATGGCCATCACTTAATCTTTCTACTAATTCTATAGGAAATAATTTTATAGATTTTATAAGATCAGGTAGAAGCTCAATATTCAGCATTTCCCTTTCATACAAGTACACTGTTTGTGTCTGCCAGCCTCAGTTCCAACAGGATTATTTGCTGCATGAGTGACTGAGAGATACCTGAACTGAAGACCAACAGGACTTTTCAGCTTTCTGCCAAGCTGCATTCTATTTTTTATGCTTTATCTTACCCTTTATGTCCCTGACAATATGCATTTGCTCTTTCTTTGCTACCTCTGTACTTAGATTATGTTACATGTGCAATAAATAGACATTAATTCGATAAGGTTATCAAAACAGGAAGACTCTCCCTAATAAAATATTTAAAATACATCTATCAGAACAGTAGCTGGTTATGAAATGGGGTGGATACGACATCCAATAAGCTCATCTTAATACCTTGGTTCTTTAAAGTTAGTAACAGCCTACCAAAAAGCACTGCTCCTTGGAAAAGAACTATATAAATAAAATTCCCACTACAGAAGAACGCAAATTTGCCTCTGTACACAGAGTATATTTATCTGTACAGCTTTTGTTGATAAAATTTTGCTTGTTTAATGGTTTATATTTTCAAAGCTTTCTCTGCTTGAAGGATATTTTTTGTCACTAACATTTAGATTTGGGATTGAAGATTGCTGTTCTAGTCTCATAGTGAAATTAATTCCATTTCTTCAAAGAAAGCTTTTGAAGTGTTTTTTATGTATGGTGGAAGTACAGATTGACAGCACAATGATCCTCTTCAATATTCTTACAATCAGCAGCTGTTAGCCTATTTTTATCAACAGCTTCATTGCTACAAGAAACACTTTTGCAAAATGCAGCTGGTGAGATCATTTCACATCAACTGTCTTCTCCCTGTGAATTTTTACAAGCAGGTTCCAAAAAACCCTCACTTCAAGAAGTAACCAACTGCCAAGGCCCCCTCCAACAACACACCAGGCCTCCTTTACCTTCCACTCATGTTCCAAGTATGCACAACCCACTCAAGGCAAAGATGAGCATCGCCCAGAAACCTTTGTATTCTCCCTCTGGGAGATTCTGCACCCTCTCTAAGGCCTTTGGTGTGCTCTAAAGTGACCTAGGATGCTACTACTGCATACAGAACCCAAGATAAATGTTCAAAACTGGTTTTGAACAAGATACAGATACAATCTCAGGTGTCTTTGCTTTCAGATTCAAATACAAAGAATAAAACCAAACCATTTTCTGACTGCAGCAAATACCTATCAGATCAATTTCACAATGTCAGTGAGGAAAGGATGGAGTTTCCAAAGTAGAAGATGGTATTTGAAGCTCTACTGCCCCGTGAGTTTAGAAGCATTAGCCAGGATGACCCTGACTCAGCCTTGCCACTCTGCCTACTTGCATCCTTTAGACCTGTCCACACACAGGACCTGCTGTGGGCAGAGTGCCAAATTGTGCCCTCAGAAATACTAAGGAAGGACCCAAAAAATACAGTGAAACTCTAGTGCTTCCAGTGAAGAAGTGCTCAGACTGAGCACTAGAAGCCCTCGGCCTATGTAGAGAATACAGCTCAGCCTGCCATTGATTTCATCCTGTCTACATGATCTGCCATCTGAGGATTCTCTGCTCTATGATCCCAATGAGGAACTTCAGAATTGAGTAGGTCTTCAAAAGATACATTAATATGGAATAATACAAATTTCTCATAGATACATGCATGTTTTATGGATATGATAGACATACTATGGATGCAAAGGGCAAGAAAGCAGAACATCAAATTCACCCAGCTGTTTTTTAGTTCTCATACTGTGTGTTTCTGCTAGTCATTGATTCTGTATAAAGCACACAGTACACATGTATGGACTTGATCCTCATTCAATGTATACGTTTGAAATTATTTTTTTAATCTAACGTGTCTACTGGGACCATCTTTGGTACACCTACCAATAAACCCTGAAGAAGGAGGGTTGGGCTGTATCTTCTCTTTAGTGTTCTCCTGAATGATGTCCCAGAGCTGCCATATAAACTTTGGATGGAGGATGTAGAATGGCTGGGTTGGATTCTTCCTGCGATGCTGCACGTAGGGAGTGAACAGATTGTAGTCTGGTTTCTTATACCACTGGAGGAAAAAAGTCACATGGTTTTTAATAGTAAGAAACATGTTTTGAACACTACATGTACAATAGCATAAACTGCCTTCATTTGGGTTCTGCAGAACAGAAGCAAAGGTAGCAAAGCAACCTGCACTGGTGGATGCTTCTGCTAGAAAGACATTACTCACTCTGGGCTATTCTGTTTCTTCCCTTCATACAGAAACTCCCAATAAGTAATTGACTGCTGTGGGATAAGCCAAGACCATTTTTCCCCCACAGATCCACATTAAAGAAGATGTTCAAAGAGCTTTAGCATGCTATCTGGGCCTGGGGGTGAGTGTTCCTCTGAAAGCATGCCCGTCCCTGACGGAGGCAGCAGAGCCGTGACGCAGGCTGATGGGGCCTGCGTGGGAGCAGGCAGCCCCTGGCATCTGTTGCTAAGGGAGTGCAGCAGATGAAGGTTTACTTTCTACTCAGCAGCCTGCTCAGCTCCGAGCTCCCTGTGCCAAAAGCCATCAGATCAACTTGTCTGCTGGGGCTGCAGCAACAGCCAAAGTGGAGACTCCCCCAGTGACAAGCAGATGGACATCTGCTGCTCTCAGTGAGGGGGTGGACGGCAGGGCACAGATGGCAGTGGGACAGTGGACATAAAGGGAATGCTGGTGGGGAGGAGGCCTGAGAAATGGGGAAGGCGCCCAGAGAGATTTTCACTAGAATGTTGTGTTTTGTTTGGGAAGGCAGAGGGGAAGATGGGGAAAAATTGATGCAGTTTTTCACCTCTTCTGATAAAACCTACTTCTGAAATCTAGCAATGCTCCCTCCTTGGCAAACACACAGAAAACTCACTGTTATGTGAAAATAGCAATGTGTTATCAAACAAATGCCACCATTCATCTATCCTAGCATCTCAGAACAGTCCCTTCCAGTATCATTGCTGGCTACTAAAAAAACTAAAAACTAAAAAAACTGCTGGCTACTTTTTGACCAATAAACCAATTCTGACCTATAGACATAGCGTTCTCCACTCAGATACAGACAGAACCTGGGGCTGATGGTGAAAAGGGAGAACCAGGAGACTAAAGTAGTAAATCAATTTTCTCCAGTACTTTCAAATAATTGGGAAGAAAGGTCTAAGTGGATATCTTACCACATTCAGATTTGCAGAGTAGGGAGCAGGATCCCAGGCTACTAAAATAACATCTTTATACAAGGAGCTGTCGACAAAGTGATGGTTGGGATTGGTGAGAATCTGCAAACACAAATGCAAAGAATTCCACAGCATTAAAAGCAAGCGGGATCCAGAAAAATGGCAAAATCCTTCTCTCAAGTGAACAGTCCTACCCACGCTGCTGTTTGTTATGTTTCAGTTCTGGTTGATTTCAAGCATCTTGTTTTGTTAAAAAAATATACAAAAAAAGCTTAGCCATAAACAGCACTCATGACAGTCTGAAGTAGCAGTATGCTGAATTACTCTCCATCTGCGAGGGATGTGATGGTACCACTTGAGATGCTGTGTTATTGTGAATCAACATTACCAGGTACTCTGGAACTTGAAACAGTATTTCAGATCACCTGTGGGATTCTCTTGGACACAGAGCAGCTTTCTTTGAAGGGCTACAGCCCCCAAGGGTAATGTCTTTCTCTAATGTCACCCATCCCCAGCCACCTTTTTCAAGGTTTTCTCATTTTAACAGAAAATCAGTGTTATTTCAATGAAAAAAATGCAAATTAGGCCATGACTGTACAAATTGGAATACCTAAAGAAACAATTCCAACAACAGGCATGTTGCAGGGCTATTTTTGAAGGAATTGTCATTTTGCTCTAATTGCCTGCTCTCATATAACTCCTTCCTGCATCTCCCAGTACTTTGCCTGATCATCCCACCACAGTGGAAGTCTACTCTTCACTCCTGCTGGCTCACCCCTTCCAGAACCCTCCATGTCTAACTAGAACTCTTTGATTCCTGGTGCATCCAATGCCAGGCAGTTCAGCATTGGTCAAAACAGCATGAATTTTCTTCCAGCTGTTAAAATAATCAACATTCCAGACAAATAAATTCATAATAATTTTCATTTCCCTTTAGGATCCAATGAGCCATATTTAATTATGCATATTTTTCTTCAGAAAAATAATATTGTTGCCATAGCAATATTCTTCCTACCATAAACTTTGAGTTTAATGATTTCCATCAGCCTTCTACAGTAAGAACAGAATTAGTCATGCTGCTATCAGCAAGCATCCCCAACTTAATTTTCCTCAGAACAATTTTCACTTCAGAATGTAAACACCTTTTTTGAGTATACAGAGCAAATTGACCAAAAGGGCAAGATTTTAAAAGCTTGGTTCCACACTTAGCACACAAAGGAGCTCTTACTTGCCTTTCAGTAAACAAGAGATCTCTGGAGGTGCTGTCCACACAAATTTCACTTTCAGTGAGTCTGCATTCATACCTATGAGTTTTTGCACAGGTTTCCTTCATATCCTTTGGGCTTTCACAGTGGAGAATATGAAGGAAGAAAGGGCCACTGCAGCCTTTTAATTAAATGAATGCAGGAGTTTCCAGCAGTGAGGAGGGGAGGAGGGTCAGTAAACCTGTACAGGTAACCCAGCTACAGCACAGGTAGGGAAAGCAACTTCCATCAAGCGACTTGTGCAGATTTCAGTCTCAGAGAGGGCAAGGCTAACTTCTCACCAGATGGACAGACCACCATGGATGGCTTCTAACCTCTTCAGAGAAGCACAAAGCTGGTGGGAATACAAACACTTGTGAGGAAGCCATGTGAGCTGACCTGGGGCAGAACTTTGCTCTCTGTTTTCTTGAGAGGTCTTATGGGGAGCAAGGCTTGCACAGTGCAGAAGAGAAGACCATGGGATCCTCCACTGCCATCCCAGTGGGAATGTACTACACCCAGTCTGCCCCGCATGGGGAGTAGCACAACAATCCTTCTGAATTTTCTGGGGAGCTAAAAAGCTCAGATCACTCCCTGAGAACATTTCTCTCTTCTACAGGAAGCCTACTGAATCTAGTAAACTGTAAAGAGTTTCTAAACCTTTATGCTTGCCCAGTTCAGGAGCTCAGGCATGGTCAATGTCAGGATACTTTGGCTAACAGTAAAATGGAGAATCATCAAAGAAAAGGGAAAAAACCCAACAAAACAAACAAACAAAAAAAGTAAAATAAAATACATTAAAATCCATGTTCCCTGATACACTGATTACCGCACTTAAAGCAGAATAAGATATTTCTGCTTTCTTCTTGTGAACAAAAGAAAGGGGGCATATTTAACCCAAATCACTTCAAAAATCTAGTCTGTTCTGCAGCCTCACAAATACCTACAAAATGAATGTAAAGGGAACAACAGTGAACAGTCCTCTTTTTGATGACAAAGAACATAAGCTTATATACATAAAAAACACACCTACCAAGAACAGACTTAGCATGGGCAGCCACTTGAAGCAGAAGAAAAAATGAACTCAAAAAATTACAGTAACTGAAAATTTTGCTATCCTTCAACACGAATCAATATGTGCAGAGCATATTACATGGCCAACCGTACTCCTAGTGTTGATTAAGTAAACTCATTTCAGTGTGTCATAAAATTTCACCGAAATTCTCTTGTTGATTTTTGTCTGCATTTCATAAAAAGCAAAGAGGTTTGGTTTGCCCAAAACAGGAATTCAGGCAATAGCATTTTTGAACTTGAAAAACTAATCTCAACCATAAGGTGTCACTGTAGCTCAAGTCACAATTATTTATTTACACCCTTACACAGAAAATCCAATTTCCTCTTATTTCCATTCAGATGAACAAACTCACCTGATGTGTAATACCCAGCACACACTAAAGTTTTTTACTAGTTCTTTCCAAATTTTTAAACCATGATGACTTGCCTAGTGTTACACAACTCAGTTCCCATTTCTTTTGCCTTCCAGCAAGGAAATAATTGGGGAACTGGAAAATATGAGAAAACAGCTTTGGAATCACCACAGCCTGAGCTCAATGAAAATCCTGGAGGCAATGGCTTCTCCAGGAGGTCAAGGTCTTCTGTGCTGACAGCTCTCTGGCATCCTGCAGAGCCTTCACAGATCAGTTCACATGAGAAACTTTACAAACTGGTTCTCTGAAATGAGGCTATCGAGCCACTCTACACTGACAGCAGTGTAAACATCCCTGTAAGGGAAAACTTTCACCTTCTCTGCATCACAACTGTTTAATCACTACCTGCTTCCCATATTACCAAACACTTTTTCAGAGGTTATTAACTTCCTGTCCTATTGTACAGAAGGGACATTGACTTGAACTCTGAAAAGGAAGATCTTACCTGAGAATTAATGATCCGCATGGTTGTTTTATTGCCAACGTCTTTTTCATAGCCACGTGTTGGAGCAGAATTAAATCTTAAAACAGCATCATGAGAATCTAGAAGCACAAATGAGGGGGTAACTTTTTTCTTAGCATGCTGAACAGTAAGATAAAACCAGTTATCTAAACTAATACAAAGCTTACACATTTGTCCTAATCTGGATATTCTAAGGATGATGAATGTTCTGCTATGCACAAACAAAAATCCTCTTGCATCTGCCATATGTTATTAACATAAAAGCCCACTGGGAAAAAAGTTCAGATTAATCTATTAATTTAGCATGCAATACTAAAATACTTCTCTTAATTGGATAGACTTACTGTGGGAAGACTATTAGTACACCCAGTACACACAATTGCTCACTACTTCTATCACAAAATTTACAGAGAATTACTCCATGGAAAAGCATGTAAACTGCAAGGATATCTAATTGCACATTTGAATGAACAACAATGTTTAACGACAAGATTGTGTTTCACAGTATTTTATAATACGTGAAAATCTCAGACTACCCCAAATCTATTAATCATACTGTGGACCTATTCTCAAGCTCAGTACAAATCTTAAAGAGCCTCTGTATGGCAGCCAGCCCACACATCTGCTCACACAAAGAAACCTCAGGATCCCTTGGTAGCAAAGATCTAACAGAACTGAACTGTCAAAGTTACTGCACAAGCAGTTGACCTTGGAGTCATGGAGAAGAGAAAGCAGCTCTAGGTCAAGTATGGGTCAAAGGTAGACACCACATGCAAGCCTTCATTGGATAAGAGATAATCACCCTCCCAGTGCTTTTTTCAAGGGGATCTCGAAGCCCAGAAGGTGTGAAGGAGAGCAAGACATTTTATTCACTGTCTAGAAACAACAGCCCCTGCTGGTAGGTGGTATTTGGTCTGTTTTTATCCCTTCTGTCCATGGCAGCTGAGAATATGAAATGCCTTAACTGACAGGTAGTCTGTATAGCTGCTCATCTCTAGTCATTTAAAATGTGTTATCTGTAGCTTAAAAACTGGAATAGACAAAAGTCTCCAAAGATAACCAACATGCCTCAATGGAGTCTTGGCTTGCTCCTATCAAACTGGGATCAACTGGGATCTTTCATCTTTTCCCTCCTTTACTCTGCACTTCTTGTATTCCATACAGGGAAACATGGTGTGGCATGTAGCCAGCAGTCTGATCTCAGACATACATGTTAGCATTAACATGTCATGTCTGAAAGGAGAGATTTTGCCAGATGCCCACCAAACCCAACTCTTCAGAATCTTATGAGTGGAAATTTATTCTGTGTCCCATGCAGGGACGGCCCTAGCCTCAACACCCAGACTTCATCTACCAAGCATCTTGATTGTGCAGGAACTAAAGGAAATGAAGAATCTGCAGGTACTTCACATATTTGGAGAAGGAAAAGAAAAACACAAGCTTGTTGTAATGAATTTAAGAACATAAATTTGGGCCCATGATCGACAACTTTTAGACAGTCTGTTGACTGAGAACTGGATTATGAAATGGAAATTGTATGATTTGCAGCTTGTGAGACAGCGTGATGCATTTCTCTGTGAGACAGCGTGATGCATTTCTTTGTGAGACAGTGTGATGCATTTCCAACAACACTCATGCTGATTCTTCATAAACAGATGAAAAACTTCTTCTTTGCCAAAAATAGCTGGTTTTAAATAAACTGATTTTAATCTTAGTATGTGTTTGTAGATAAGCATTTTAAAGACCAAAAACCTTTGGGGTTTGATCACAGATCCCTGTTACTTCCTATGATGCCAAAATAATTGGTTCTCTCAATTAATATCATGATCACAATGGAAGTGTTTGCTATACTTGTACAGTATTTCCACGCCTACTTTCATTTAAAAACAGTCAGAGGGGTGGGGGAGAGGAGGGCAAAAGGCAGAACACAAATTAACATTTTTGCTTGTGTTTCTAATAGGAACACAGAAGAGGGAGCTAAAGGCCTATGAAGGGAAATGTCCTTCACTACTTTCATAGGTATTTTTTTCCCTCTCTTGGGAGAATAAACCATGGAATCACAGAATGGTTTGGCTGGGGAGGGACCTTTAAGACCATCTAGTTCCAACCACCCTGCCATAGACAGGGACACTTCCCCTAGACCAGGTTGCTCAGAGCTCCATCCAACCTGGCCTCGAACATTTCCAGGGACAGGGCATCCACAATTTCTCTGGACAATCTGTTCCAGGGCTTTACCACCCTCACTGTAAAGAATTTCTTCCTAACAACTATCTAATTTAAGCCTCTTCTCTTTTACCTTAAAATTGCTCTCCCTTGTCTACCATTGCTGTAAGCAGTCACTGGGCCCCCCAAAGTCTGGGCCAAATCCTCTCCTCAGTCACCGGTGTCTGCCCTGAGAGAGTCTTATAAAAAACCTTCTGTGATTGCTGGTGCCCCAACATCTCCTTGCACAACACGTATGAGATCTAAAAATTCTGTGTGGGCTTTTTCAATCTTCCTCCCTTTAGGTGGCATCAGATGACAATTTCCCATTTAAATCCAAAGTTCTTCTGTAAGAAATGACATAAGGTTTGGTGCCCAGAAGCTTCCTAAGCAAATGGGTGCACTCAGGAGCAAGCAGGCCCCAGGTACCATGTCAAGCACCCAAGTCCACGTCTGGGCTGCACCTGAGTGAGCAAATATGTCTTGAAACATGCTGTAATACGTGATTATGTAAATATGTCACAATGTGCTATGGATTCTACAGTACAGCACTAATCCATACTGGTGTAAACTGGTTGTAGTGGGGAAGACTGACAGAAGATTCTGTTTCAGTCAAAGATAACATGCTGGAGAAGGTAGGAACTGCTAAGCTTTTTCACCCGAAAGATTTCTACACCAGCAAGGCTTCCTATGGAATCAGGGGTTACCCTGGTGTGATTTTAGCTGCAGGCTAGCTGGGCACCTTTGCTGTGCTGGAAGCACATTGCAAGAGTTTGATAATCCTAGAAGCTCCAACATATCCCAGAGATTTAAAGAAAACCTATCAGTGTCAAAGAGATGACACAGAGTGATGAGGCAAGTATTGGGATGTGAAGTCCTGGAAGATGGGAGGATTAATGAGTGAACATCAAAAGGTTTTTTATGGAGTGCTGAAGGAGATAACTCTTCTTGTTCCAGAAACAAGTTCTGAAACCTTTCATCCTTCTTTCAACACTCTTAGCATACTGCACATGTACTACTAAAATGAAGAACTACTGAGATATTAACACAGGTAGTAGCAATATTTAAAAAGAAAAAAATAGAAGTGACCTGGACTAGTTTTATGGTCCCACCATCCTTTTCTGAATAGCTGCTACAAAACTCCCACCTTGAGGTGGGGGAGTCTGAGTGACACTGACATCTCAGCACACCTGTAACCTCACTGACTCAGTGTGGCAATGGGAAAACAATGGGTGAACACATTTGAACTCACTGAAATTCAGTCTCAGAAAAGAGGCCAGGGGACTTGATGTCAGTGCATGAAGCTACTCAAGGGTCTGAATTCCTTATGTCTGTGAACTCTAAACCAGCAAGAGATGAAGAGGACACTCTACTGCTTCTTGACATGGAGACAAATGTCTCGGCCAGCCACACAGCAGCAGTTGTGAGCTACTGCAAAATAAAGACCAGTGTAACACAGCTTTGCAGAATAAAACCTGAACATAGCTCTAATCTGCTGAAGAAATAAATGCAAGTTGCACACAAATGTTGAATGTGGCAGATCTGATGTAACCAGTTCTGCCTCCCTACTACAAGATGTAATATGATAAGAAAGCATCATTGTTTTCTTTAAATTAGATTATGACTTCAGGCCTGATTTTCCTTTCAGTTATGTTGTTCTGAAAGGGAACAGCCTCACTGAAGTCCATTAGTTTACATTCATGCAACTGTAGTAAGACAGAACAACCAGACTTTACAGATCTGTGCTTGAGAAGCATGAAACTTTTGAAATTTAAATATGAACATGCATATACATACACACACACACACACACACATAGATGCATTTCACCCACCTATTTCGTCCCCCAGAGAGGAGTTCAGTATTGCACCAGCAGACATAACTACTGCACAGCTCCCAAACCCATGTGCATATAATTTGACCAGTGGAATTTGGGGAACGTGCTTTTCCCATCCAAGAGTGGAGAAGGGAGCCTCCTTGCCATCTATTGTTTTCACATTCACTCTTTCTTTTAGCTCACAGAATAGCTGGTCTCCTGTCAACTTGGAGTTTCGCTTCCCCTTGAACCGCACCCCATGCTTATTGGTACTCAAATAATCTTTCATCGCCTTCTGCAGTCGAGGGTTTAGCATCTTGGAAGAGACATCCCCTTTCCAAAGCTTGTAAAGAAAGGATTTCGACATTGTGGAATACAGCCCATCCCAGTCATCAGATTCATTAAGTATCTGGCCTCTCCTATGCTTTGTGCTCCTTCTCCTCGTTCTTCTCTGATGGCTCCAGTTGCTCTGTAAAACATTTCCTTTTGGATTATTCACATCAGCTGAAATGAAGTTTTCCATCTCTTGAAGGCGGTTGTGTGACTGAGGCTGACCAGCAGCAAATAAATAATCATCATTCACTTGATAGAAAGCACTTTTTGATTTTCTTCCTAACTGGGGTGGGAGAAACTCATCTTCATTTCTAAAGTCCTCTTCCAATACAGTCCATTTCTTAGAATTTGCAGTCCCAGATTTAAAAGTACCTAGGAGATCTTCATTAAGAAGTACCTCGTTCCCATCAATGGTTTCAGAGAATGATGGGTCATGAATGGCTCCCATGATGACTCTCTGCTTGCCCTGAAGGGGCAGAAGTCTCTTGGTTTCAATGTAAGAAAAGGAACTTGGAACTGGTTCAGCAGTGTTGCTATCTGTAAAATAGATGAATATCACCAAGAAAAGCAGGCCCCATGCAAAGATACCAAAAAGCATGAGTTGTTTCCATTGCTTCAAGTTAGGTTTCATGGCAATGCCTTTACCACCTCCTCTGTGCCTTGAAGTATTGGTGAAGGAAAATGAAACCTGTAGAGAACATCAAATGCTATTAAAAATCATTCAAAAAACAAATACAACTTAGAAATATCTTAACACATATTGATAGATGGTGCAGAATTAATCTCCAGGCAGTAGCACAAAGGATTCAGTAGCAGAAACACACTCCAGAGCCTGCAGACACTGTAGGAGTGACACGCTTTGGCTGTAACCACACCGTGACAGCTGCTAGCTGCAAAAGAAGCCGGTGGCCAGTTTCTACAGTAACTCTGGATCCTGCCTTCGGGGAGATCATGTGCCTGCCTGCTTCTGCTATACCCAGCATAGAATTAGGAGAGCAAAAGCAAAGCCCCTGCCTGGCTGCATGCACAGAAGCTGTCTTCTCTTTACCACTGAAAGTCCTCACGCAGGGGAACTGTGAGCAAGCCTGTCTCCAGAGGGACCAGGCAGGGAGCACAAGCTCTACATTGCAGCCCTCCTCTGCCCACAGCCTGGAAATGATGGTGTTCGGTGCATATCATCAGGGGGTGAAGGGTAGAGCATCACACAAATGGGTCAGAAGGGAGCCTTCTCCTCAGCGGGTATGAGCTGGCACAGCCCCAGTGGCTGCATCATTTCTTGCCTGGTATCAGACCTGAGTAAGAGCAACTCCTGCACCTCTGCTACAGATGCTGCACTCACACTGAAGTGGCATGAAGGAGTTGCGCACATCAAGGTGCCAGGGGGTTTACATTTCCCAAAAACGAGAATGGGTGGCACAACTATCTAAATACATTCCTTTAGGATAAGATTGAGATTTACATAAGGGGAGTGGGTAGAGAATGTCAGACCTAGTCCTGGAAATATGTGCCCTATTAATACCTGGGGGTTTTGGACAGCTTGTGCATTAGTGGAGGGATGCATGGTCCAAATGAAACAAAGTTTGACTGAGGGGGCTGTGTTCCAAGGAAAATACATACCACATTGCTAGACCATCGAGCACACTATGCCCTTACACGAACTCACTTGCTTAATCAAGTGGTGTGACTATCAGTTACAAGCCTGACTGAAGCAAATCCCCACCACAAGTTTTACCATTCACCTCCCTGCACCACAATCATCATCAGTGTAACTCAATGTACTAATTAGTGACAGATCACTCACCTGGATCCAAATTAAAAACAAACCATACCCCTTCTGGAGTTTTCTTTCTAACCCATTTGTTTGGATGGCAACTTAATGGTGGGACTTAAAAAAAGCCACTTGTACCAGCCAGCTGTGATCAGTAAAGGGGAATGGGAGCAGGGGCAAGCTTGTATTTCATTACCAGCCTGTGCCTCAGGAGCCACCATCTCATCACATCACATCCAAACAGCTTACAGGCCTGTGATAACACACTGCCTGCTCCCCCTGGCCATCAGGAGGGACCAAAACCACAGTCACCACACGCTATCACCTTTCTGCAAGCTGCAAGTACATCAAAGCTGAGTGCAAAGTTTAAACCAAGGCTGTAACTAAGACTGTGTTTTCACATGAAAAAGAAGCCAGCAGTAACAGCAGTGTAAGACGTTCTCCTTCTGTCCTTCATTCCTGCACTGTGCCTCTGCTGCTGCCAACACCCCCGTGTGTGGAACTGATACAGGAGGGAAATACAGGTTAGAGAGTTTTCTTGGGTTTTTGGTTTGTGGGGTTTTTTTTTTTTTTTTTGGTTTTTTTTTTAACTGGGTCAGCCCCTTTATCCACTTCAGTGTGGTCACACATCCAGTTGTTTCAGCACAAATGGGTAAATCACCTACCACAATGTAGAGGGAGAACAAACCGCAGGTGGTATTAGCAGAGATAACTGAGAGATGTTTCTGCTGACCTCCAGAGAATGTGAGACTGCACTATAACGTCTCCAAACCGTCCATTTTAACGATCTCGACAAAGACAACTGACTTTGGGGCTCAAGGCAGTGTCCAGCCAGAGGGAGGATTCATAAAGTTATGCTTGGATGACCAAATTTCATTGCAATTTCTAATACACAGAAAAAAAAAATCATGATTGTGATAACCCAGTGCTCCACATATGTTTGGCTTGGCTCAGCTCACAGAAACCACACGGAAGAAAGCTATTACTCCAACTGACCCATTTCCTACTTGCACTCTGCTGCTGCAAGATTGCTCTCTGCAGTACCTCGACTCTCCCACACCTTCCAATTTTAAATCACTGCAGGTGATGTCCTGTGGGAGTTGCCTTACAGTATATGGCTGTTGTGCCAGTTAGGTCTGCCCTGAAGTTATTGCAACCTGCCCACTCATCAGTGTTCAGATGGTTCGCATTTTAAAATCAGCATTCTTCACCCATCTGAACTGCTTTCATCTCTTTTTATCATTTTCCCTGATGTGTTTCCCCAGCACTTTTCAACATGTGGCTTCCAAACCACTGTGTAAGTTAGTCTTTGCTCAGTCAGATGGTTCTCCTGCTGAATATACATTTCTTACAAGATCTGCAATGGAAGCATCTCTCATGATCTTTTTAACAGATAAGCTTGCAGGAAGCCAAAGTCATAAAGGAAGAGGTCACTAATATTTTGCACTGAGTCACATAGCAAGTCCAGACACAATTTAATCTATAAATGTTACAATTTACTCATTCCCCCACCAGCTTTGTTGTATCTTATAACCAGAAGTTGCTAAGAAATAGAAAGGTTTAGTCCTAAATCAGGCGTGACACTACAAATTTCTAATTGTCTGTGATCATATGTTTGGCACAGCAGATTGCCACAACATAATAAGTCAAGACTCAGTATTCAGCCTAAAATAAGAAAAAGGACTGAGATGCATTATTAATTATTTTTAAATTAAAGCAAACAAAAATCTGCCCCCCCAAGCCCTCCACAACACTTATGTCATGAAAGCACACTCATCTTGGTCAGTACGCACGTATTAGCATGCATATGATTAACTTCACTGTGCAGCAAAAAATACCTGTTATGAACAAAAATTCAGTTAATATTTTTTTTGTGAGAAAGAGTTGCAGGGGGGCAGCCAGGTCTCAGGCGCTGCCAGGATTCTTAGTGCTTTGTT